AATTCTATTCCATTGATCTCAAGTGTCTGTTTTTGTGCCAGTACCACACTGTTTAATCATTGCTTTGTACTGTTTTGAAAGTGAAAAATGAGCCCGCCTACTTTATTCTTTATTAGCCGTTTTGGTTCTTCCATGTCCATTGAAATTCCACATGAATTTTTATTTTATTTACTTTTTAAAAATTTTTTAGAGTACCAGGTTTTGAGCTCAGGGACACTCAACCACTGAGCCACATCTCCAGCCCTGTTTTGTGTTTTATTTAGAGACAGAGTCTCACTGAGTTGCTTAATGTCTCACTTTTGCTGAGGCTGGCTTTGAATTTGTGATCTTCCAGTGTCAGCCTTCTGAGCCTCTGGGATTACAGGTGTGTGCCACTATGCCCGGCCCACATGAATTTTAGAATCCACTTGTCTGCATTGAATCTGGAGACTAATTGGGGAGTGTTATACTTTTTTTTTTTTTTTGGTACCAGGGATTGAACCCAGGGATGTTTAACCATTAAGCCACATCCCCAACCCTATTTATGTTTTATTTTGAGACAGGGTCTCACTAAATTGCTTAGGGCCTCGCTAAATTGCCAAGGCTGGCTTTGAATTCACAATCCTCCTGCCTCAGTGTCCCAAGCATCTGGGATTACAGGCATGAGCCACCACACTTGGTTGTTACAGACTTAATAAGTCTTCTGACCCATGACCATGGATATTTTCCCATTTATTCAGATCTTTGATCTAATGCTTTGTAGTTCTCATGGCAAAAAAATTTCACTTCATCTGTTTTTGTTTTTTCCTTTTGATGCTGAGTGGATTTACTTTCTGGATTTCATTTTCAGATTGTTCATTATAAATGTATAGAAATACAATTGATTTGTGGAATGAGATGGACATCATTACCCTAGGTACATGTATAATTGCACGAATGGTGTAGCTCTACTTTGTGTACAATCAGAGAAGTGAAAAATTGTGCTCCATTTGTGTACAATGAATTGAAACGCAGTCTGCTGGCATGTGTAACTGATTAGAATAAACAAAACAAAACAAAAAAGAAATACAATTGATTTGTGTGGGGAGATGGGTGCTGGAAATTGATCTTGAGGCACCCTACTACTGAGCAATATCTCCAGCCTTTTTTTTTCCCCCTTTTTGTACCAGGGATTGAACCCAGGGGCTCTCAACCACTAAGCCATATGCCCAGCCCTTTTAATTTTGAGATAGGGGCCCACCAAGTTGCTTATGGCCTTGCTAAATTGCTGAGGCTGGCTTTGAACTTGCAATCCTCCTGCTTCAGCCTTCTGAACCTCTGGGATTACAGGCATGTACCACTGCACCTGATACCCTACACTTTGAAAGGACTTGTCCTCATCATCTCTCTTTAGAGCTATTTCTGAGTGGGGCTACTGAGAGGCTGTAGGCCCTATTTGGCTTTCCCCAAGGCAAAAAGCCAACTTGTCTAGACCTCAATTTTTCCTTCCTGTCAGACAGTTGAAGGAATTTTCATGTGGCCATAGGTATGAGCTAAGGCAAAGATTTCAATGCAACTAAAGTAACTAGCACAGGAAGGTGGCTGAGACCCTTTGTTCAATTTAATTTACTTGTGCCACCAAGTTTTCTTGAGCCTCTTCCTGACTATATTTTCCTGCTGTAAAATGGATTGTTGCTATATCCACCTAACCTTACAACTTGGTCTGACAAGAACCAGCTAGTTATATGGGTAACTGATCATACAGTCAGTCACTTAATATCTCATAGCCAGGAACTGAGACTCTACTGGAGCTTAACAGCCTGCCAGAAGACACTTCTCAAAACTTTCTTTGCTAAAGATGTCACCATCTTACTCCAGAATCCTTGAGGTCTGGATTGCCAGGGAATCCACATAGGATCATTTCCTATCATATATACCTCTAGTACTGTGGAATTTTCCAGGAGACATGCCCCCCCCAATACCTGTTGCTGAACCCTTTCTTGCATTCCTAAGCTGCCTTAGGATAAGAATATGCTGCCTCCAAAACTGTAAGAGCTCTGTGATAACCTGTCCATTACTTGAGGGAATATTCCAGAATGCTTCAGACCAATAGACTAAAATGTGGCAGACCCCTGCACCTTTCCAGGACTTATTTCCCATCTTTTTTTTAGTTGTAGATGGACACAATACCTTTTTTATTTTTAATGTGGTGCCCAGGATTGAACCCAGTGCCTCACACATGCTAGGCAAGCACTCTACCACAACCTCGGCCCCTTATTTCCCATCTTGAGTGTGTGTGTATATATGTGTATATGTATGTATGTATATGTGTGTGTATATATATATATATATATATATATATATACACACATATATACACACACACACACATAAAAAAATATATATATATATATATATATATATATATATATATATATATATAATCTCATCAAGAAACTGAAAAGTACTTGATCATTAGGTTTGACTAACATATCCTCAAATACCTGATTGCCATAACCCTGGTATAGCAAACAAACGTACATTCTGCAGAATTTCCAGGTCCAACTCACCCATTTTTTTTGGTACCAGGGACACGGTCTTGCTAAGTTGCTTAGGACCTCACTAAGCTGCTGAGGCTAGGTTTAAACCTGTAATTCTCCTGCCTCAGCCTTCCGCATTCAAGTCCTTTTTGACTATATTAACATAACTCCAGGTTAAGACACTGAGTACATACAGACTGTTGCCTATATTTCATAAATGCAAACAGCTTCTAATTTTCCTTCCTGAAGGTTATTGAAAGAATGTATTCACAGCGACTCAAGAGGCTAAGGCAGAAGGAATAAGAGTTCAAAGCCAGCCTCAGCAATTTAGTGAGGCCCTAAGTAACTTTATGAGACCCTGTCTCAAAACAAAACAAAAATGGGAATTTCTCCAATTTCCAAATGTACTGGGATTACAGGTGTGCACCACTGTGCCTGGCTTAAAGTGGGTCTTTGGACCCACTGTAAGGTAGATTTGGGCTAACATTCCATTTATGTCCTGACTGCACATTTTCATAATATAATGTGAGTGGGTCTACTACTACTATGAGGGGAGGCAGTGTGTGGTGCTTTGGGTTCCCGGGTGTCTGTGTCCACTCAGACCCTATATCCCTGTTTTCCAGCTCTTTGGATATTCTTTCCTCTCATGCATGCTAGATAAGGGCTCTACCACTGAGTTACATCCCCAGCCACCTTAACTTGTAGTTAACTAAACAACTCTTTCAATTGTTAGTTTGTGAACCTATAGACTGTCTTGGGCTTAGAAACTAGCAAAGAATTTTGACTTTTCATTACAGTCTTTGGTTCAAGCTCTTCACCTCTCTTGTTTAAAATTCTCGTGGCTGTCCACCTTACTCCTAGACCACTCATGTTCTATTAGTCATCTGTTAATATTAGTTTGAACTTGTTTCCCTTACAGAAATTCACCCACCTTGCTTCTAAAATTAAATGTTGCCAACTATCCTTTGCTACGTCAAGATGGTATCCTGGAGGTGGGGGGTTGTGGCTCAGTGGTAGAGTGCTTGCCTAGCACATGCTAGGCATTGGGTTCGATCCTCAGCACCATATAAAAATAAATAAATAAAATAAAGGTATTGTGTTCATCTACAACTAAAAAAATTTTTAAATCCTATCATCCCATCATGACAAAGAAAAACAGTTCTATAACAATTTACAATAGCCACTTCTAAAGTTCTCAAGTTGCTGGTAACCCTTCCTCAGTGCCTTTCCTATTCCTATTGTCTTTATTTAAAAAAAAAAAAAAAAAGCCCCAGGCCTTTCTGAGGGATATGGTCAGCTGGTTAGGTTTTTCATTGTTGTACAACATGCCCACTTCCTTAAAGCCTTCTAGTCTTTTTTAATGTGGACCACTGTTTTTTCCAAGCTCCCAAAAGCCATCTCAACAGTATAACTACTTCATGAGGCTTTAAAAGGATGTCACAGGAACATATCCTTAATATTACAAATTCTGTATGGATTTGATTCTTAATTCATGAAGCCATCCATACAATCACGAGTTTATTATCTAAGATATAGAATTTTGGAACAAAGAAGCATCTTCTATAAAATTTGAGAGCAGCATACATATTTCATCAAACCTAAGCTTTGCAATAGTTATTTTTAAGCAGAAGAAAAGGCAGGCTAGAAAAATGTGAGATGTTCTTCCAGTGATATATTCTTGCTGTAGAACAAGTTCTCTAAGGGCAACTCTCACATGGGAGCGAACTCCACAAGCATAGAAATGTATGTTTGACTAGAATCTATGAAAAGACTAAAAAGGGCCCAGAGCAATGCTTCTCAAAGGTGGTTTGAAGACTTGTGTTGGTCTGTGAAGAGGCTCCAACCTCCAATTTGTGGCATGAGGAATTAGAAACTGAGAGTGTTAAGAAACTTTTAAATATTTTACATGGTTGTGATATCCAAGAACATAACCAATGGATTCAATCTGTTGAACAGGGTCTCGACAGTTTGGATGTTGTCAAACTTGCATAGTGGTGCATGCCTCTAATCCCAATGGCTCAGGAGACTGAGGCAGGAGGATCTCAAGTTCAAAGCTAGCCTCAACAACTCAGCCAGGCCCTGGGCAAAGGACTGGGGAAGTGGCTCAGTTGTTAAGTACCTCTGGCTTCAATCCCCTGTATTAAAACAAAAACAAAATCTTACAAGGTGTGTTCAATGCAGGGTAAAGTCCATATCTGTCAGTTTTGATATATGAAGAATTAGATGTATAAAAACAAAAAAACCTGGTTCTACACCATACATGGTTAAGAAAGACTACCATAGGGTACCCAGCTCTATCCCTCCACAAGTCCTAGAATAATTCAAATAGTACTTTGAATCAGAGAGTAATCAGAAGTCAATTTGCTCATGTTAAATCAAAATAAATGAAAATGAAAACGAGTGTCTTGGGAACAGAGCTAAAGTAGACTAGGGCATCTTTTAAATCCATGGATTAAAAGCCTTGGTCAGGCTACCAGAAAAGAAAACTGGCAGGACAGTATATACACAGTTCAAAGAGCAGAGCCCTTTTATTCATCCTTCCTGTTCTCTATTCTTTCCCAGTTTTGGGCTGGAACTTTAAGGAGAGAATTTTGGCATTCAGGCCACATAACCGTCATCACAAGTCCCCTTGTACTTTTTCTACGTGTCACAAAGTAGAAGTCTCACATTCAGACCTGGGTTCTTCCAAGCTCTGATTAGGTATGGTACTGGACTTTTCCAAATAGCCTAAGGCCTCAAGAACATTTCCTTCCTTTCCAAGGCCAGAGAATGTATGGGACTTTTAAATAGTGAAAAATTTTAAACCAGGGGAAAGTGACATGTCAGTAGCTCAAAGTGACTCAGATGATGAATGTGAATTTGTTCTGGCAAGAATTATTTTCCAGTGAACAAGGACAGCCAGCTAGGCTGACCAGGGTATCCACCAAACATATGGCAGCCAAGATCCCTAGATCCACTGAGAAGGGCAATGTCAGCTCAAAGATAAATAACTGAGAAAACATGTTAACAATATATTACTAACATTAATCATAGTATGAAAATGAAAAGTAAAAATATAATACCAATTGCAACGCTTTTCAAATTGAAATACCCAAGAGAAAAATGAGGAAAGAGAACTATTCTCCTTTGCCAACTGAGGTGCAGACTGAGCTGGGGATTGAGGGCGGTGGTGAAGGCTAGCATGATGTTACATAAAACTAATCACATTCCCTACACTGCAGCTTATAGAAGCTAAGGAAGCAGAAAAAGACCTGGATGAAAAACAGGCCACACTCCTCACTCAGAATATTTATTAGACACTGCCCCATGAGATTGCAGGAAAAGGACCTAGGCTGCACCCCTTCTCCTTTCCTAAGCACCTTCGTGAACCAAGGATTCTAAAGGAATCAGATGATTCAAATAAGCCAGAATATATCTGGGTAGAATAGCCATTCATTTGCCACACCTGACATTACTACTATGTGTTTGCCAGAGAGGGAAGGAATCAGTCAAAGTGGTGGATGAACCAAATGAGGGGGAATGGGAAGGGCCCTTCTTCATCTTAGTGTGGGCTGAGAAGGGTTGGAATGAAGGGTATTTTAAAAAGGAGATAAGAGGACAGGCAGGAGGCAATGTTAAGTCAGGGGCTGGGTTCATCCGGATCATACAGCATTGTAGAAAGAACCAGGATAGCAACTGAAGTTCTCAGGCTGGAACAGGAAGTTGAGGACTCAGCACCTAGAGGGAGGAAAAGGTTTCTCTTCCAACCCTACTGTAATAGATACTAAGGCCCTTTCCCTTCAGAGAATTCAGAATGGTCTGTCTAAAGGCAAGAGAGCAAGGGACAGATCTACATTTCCGGCTGAGGCTAAGTTTCTCCCCATTCCCAAAGTCCCTGTCCAAGAGAAGTGTAGAAATAGAGTCCCAGGACTCTGCCCTTACTCCCCAGATCCAAGAGAGGGAGTAGAGACAAGGCACGAAGACCCTGGAAGTAAAAGTGAACATCAATGTGGACATGTATAACGCTATTTTGGGAGAGGGAAGAAGGTGCTTCCCCCAAAGGGGTACCTTCCTTCACCTGGCTTGTAGGTGGGTCTTTGCTAGCAGCAGAAACCATGAGCAGGGCTCACAGAAATGGCCTGTGAAACAGATCCTACTCTTAGAAAGTCAGAGGAAAAGCCTCAGCCAGTATGGCACAATCTTGAATGGGACTATGGAGGGCTGTGGGCAAACCGCTCCTGCAGATGACAATCCTGTCTCTCTCGGTTCCCAATGGTTCTGTTGACTCCAGATGTTTCCCATGGCTGGGACTCAGGGAGGAAAACATGTTTGTCTCACATGATCAGACACTGTTCACCACTGGCACCTGGTGGGCCTGAGAGATTGAGGGCATCCAAGTCAAAGTTGAGGCCAGGAGGCTGGAGAAGAGATGAAGCAAATCAGATAATTGCTCACTTTTCAGGCTGGAGTTTCTGAAGGTCCATCTCCAGCAGCCGTAATTATTACTTTAGGTAGAATCACCAGAGTTGTTGAAATGGGGGCTCAGATTAAAATCTAGAAGATATACTCACCATCTCCCCAGCCAGTTCTTTTGGAGGATGACCCAAATCCTGTAGCTAGAAAACAGAAAATATAAGATTAAAAAAAAAAGCCCAGAAAATAACAGAGGAGCTTGACAAGGAATCTGGTTAGTAATCTCTGATTTCTTCTGACCATGCAATATGGACTCTCTTGTGCTTCCTCCTCCACCCAGGTTTGGCAGTACAGTATATCCTTCCTAGGTAACTTCTTCACCAAACACCCAAGCAGACAGTATCAGTGAGCAGATGGCAAGAGAAAGCCTTACCTGCTGCATAAGATCTAGCACCGTCTCAAAACGGGCCTTTTGAGTGGCCTCACTGTCTGTAGGTGTCTCTGCCTCAAATTGTTCACATATTTTTCCCATGACACTGTGCTGCTCCTGATATTTTTCAAACTGCTCAGGAGGCAGAGATTCCCGGTGACTCTGCAACCACTCTGGATACTAAGGAAAGAGAATGGATAGGGAAGAATTAAATGCACAATGGGTGGGGAAGGGGAATGACAATACTTAAAATGTGAAGGAAAGGAGAAAGAAAAACTAAATAAACAAGTTCATCATGAGAAATAGCACTGACTCCAATCAGATCATCTGGCTGTACTAGCATTTATTATCATAGATGTTAGCAAACTATTTCTGTAAAGGGCTAGGTAATAAATATTTAGGTCTAGAGGGTCCTATATGGTCTCTATTGTATATTCTTTATTGTTGTTTTAACAACCTTTAAGGGCTGGGGATATAGCTCAGTTGGTAGAGTGTTTGCCTCACTTGCACAAGGTCCCCAGCACCACAAAAAACCAAAAACAAAAACTTTAAAAATGTAAAAACCAGGGCTGCGATTGTGGCTCTGAGGTAGAGCGCTTGCCTAGCATGTGTGAGGCACTGGGTTCGATCCTTGGCACCACATAAATCTAAAATAAAGCATTGTGTCCACCTATAACTAAAAAATAAATATTAAAAAAAAAGTGTAAAAGCCATTCTTAGCTTGACTATAGGACTTAGGCCAAACAAACCCTTGTCTCTTGACTGATATACTATTCATTTCATATTTAGCCACATGTTGCTCATGTCATCTCTCTGGTAAAATTATAAGCTTTTTGATGGAAGGGATCATCATTTGAACTCTTTTTAAATTGTTCATAATAGAAAGCCAGTGAATACTTGTTGGATAAATGAAGTCAGAAATACAAGAAGGGTTTGATCAGACAATCCCAAAGTCTTGAAGCGTTTATGGAAAACGATAGCTGAAGGATTTCTCCTTCCACCACAGAGATTCTCAGTGTAGTGGGTTTATTGCTCAGAGATATTACACCCCCCAACTCTTCCCACCACCGCAAAATAAGCAAAGAATGAACAAAACGGACTTGTACACTCATTATTGTCACTGCAGGTTTGGAGCAAAGCAACCCATATGAGTTGATAAGATGGAGAGTGAGAAGAAAAGGATCAAGTGGCACAAACCTTTTCTGTGATCTCCTTCAGTGACGGGTACAACACATCCTTGGATAGTAGGTTTTGCATAATACTCTGCATGATGGGGAGGATGTTCCCTTCCCCATCCCCTTCATCCATGCCCAGACCCTCCATGGCCTTGGTCAGCTCCTCTTCCGACATGCCCGAGTTCTAGTCAGGACGAGAGAGAAGTGAACAGGTATACTGCCTTTCTGGGATGCTACCACTCTTTCAGGTGGGAAAGAACAATCTAAACTTGCCTGTAACAAAATAATGAGGCAAGGATAGAGTTGGAAGATATCCAGGAGCATGTCTTTACAGACTGTTAGTGAAGGGTTTGAAAGTGGGCCCCTTGTGATCTCCTACCCATTCCCCACTAACCTGAAGATCAGTGGCATTTTTGGCTAGGCCACTTAATGTCTCCTTTAGACAAGAAGTAAATTCTTGTTGGGAGGTTGCATCACTGCCTAGAAGAGATCAAAACAACCAGGATCATTTAGGATTTTAATTGACTGCTTGACTATAATACTTTGTTTCCAGCTTGGATATGAAGCATGTAAATAACTATTGCTTCAAATCTCTGAATACTCTTATTATCTTCATAGCCATTTCTTAAATCTACATGGATTGTATATCAGTTTGTTCTCCACAGTAACATCTACAATAACACTGCATCCTTTACAATGGTCAGTTTTGGATAATATTTTTTATTATTTTATAACATCTCATTCCTTTCCTTAAACTTGGTTCTCATATTTCCTCCTGATGCCTCGCTCCATCCTATGGCTGTAACATTATGATTGATTCAATTTTACTGAGAATCCTGGTGTTATCAAGCAATAAAGACTTAGTAGGTCTGTCTAGATATTTCCCTTTGTCTTAGATCTCCTCCTTACCCACTCTTCCAGCAGCCTCTGAGAGCTTTTGGAACTGCTCCACCAGGTGGGGCTCTTCCTCAGCCAACTCCTTCATTGCCTTCTCGAACTCTGCAGTGGCTTGGGAAGCCAGCTCGCTGTCGAATAGTTCCTGGAAAAACTTCTCTTGGGAGGCGAAGAGGGCATCCTGCAGGGGAGGGTAGTCAAAATGCATCCTTTATGGCACGCACTACCGGCACTCTACTGATAGGAGACAAGTAGTAGCTCCAGGAAATGTAGGACCTCCCTCCTACCAACCTCCACTGGACATTCTATCTACCTCTCCTCATTAGGACAGCAAGAAAGGCTTCTGGCCATCGAGGGAAAGGTATAAAGTGGTATCAATCAAATCCAACCACTTAAACACACTCTTTTCTCAAGGAACATCCTTGAGATACTTCCACTCAACCTTGGGTCCCTGTTTTACAAGGACTAAGGCCTGCAAGAGCACTCAGCAGTGTGAGGCCAAAGCACCCTTCCACCCTCCCCTCTGGCCCACAGGGGCCTGCCCCACCTCTGCTCAGAGCTGCATGCCCATCCCCTCCCTCTCCCTTAAGGGGGTGGAATTTATACTTTGGCAGTGTCTCCTGGCGATCTCTTCTGGGGCCCTGAAGCATCGGGGGCCGTGGTGGTAGGAGGGGGTGCTGGGGAGGGTTTGGCTTTATCGAAATCATCAAGAGCACCTTCAGAGACAAGAGACATGGTGTGTGTGTTGGGGATGGATGAAGATGCAAGGCTGGGTGTTTTATGGGCAAAGCATTGGGAAAATGATCTTCCAAAGTGTGAACTTTCTTCAAGTTTTCTCCTTTTTTGGAGTCTCTCCTTCCTAGCCCACTGATCAATAAGCCTTCCAATTCTCTCAGTATTACCAAATTTATTGTAATCAAATGGAAAGAAATTCCTATGGTGGAACAAGTGTCCATCTCATAACTGGGAGGAGAAAGTTAAAAGAAGTTCTGCAGCAATACTTCCACCCTTACACACTAATAATTTTCTAGAAATTACATATAAATATCCAACAAAAGCAGAGGACACAAATGTCCTTATCCTCCTGAACTCACTTTGGAGCCTTAAAGTGGGAATAATCTTTGGCAAGACTGCACAAGATGTCCCACCCAGATTTCCATTGGTCCTGATGCTAGTACAAATTGAGGGACTCCATGCACTTTATGGGAGGGCATTAAACTCTCTTATGTTATTCTTCAATATAGTTCTCCCACAGCAAGCTCCTAGAGTTCCCTTTGGTCTCATCTCTCCAGATAACTCTGCCAATTCAGAGTCACTTGGCACTCCTCACTGTTTCTGTTCGTTTTTCTGCCTGCTCACATCTCTGACTGAGCAAGAGATTTAAAAAAATTCAACTCTGTCCTAAAGAGCCTGTGTTGCCACCACCACTCTGTTTGCCAGGCATAGGGAAAGGGCACTAGCCCCACTCTGGGCAGAAAACGAACAGAGGAGTGGAGGAAAAGCTAAGAAAGAAAAGAACATCCACTGTCTTTCAGGAGGATGAACAGTCCATCTTCATTTTCTCAAAATAATGGAAAAGGAGTTTACTTGAACAACTGCAAGATGAAAGAATTATGGGGGCTTGTAAAAAACAGGGGAAAGGACTGGGAGGGGAAAAAGATGTGTCTTATGTTAAGACGAGGCACAGAAGGACGCCCTATGGGCTTAAGAGTTAATGTATGTAAACCGTGAGTCTCCGGTTCGCTGCCCACCGAGGACCAAAAGCTGCTACTGGCCTAGGGGAGCTACACTTCAAGAATTTACTAACCTGATGCAAGGGGGTTTGAAGGGGGCTCGCAAATACGGTCTTACAGGGCACCGTTTCTCCCGGCAGGGAGATCAATGATCTGGGCAGCTGAGGGGCCCAGAGTGAACTCCCCAGCTCCCACCGCGGAGGAGGGACAGGGTGACCCAGAGATGTTCTTTGGGGTCGCAGCCAGACCTTCGCCCCCGCCAATCACTTAAAATACTTTCCTGCTCCACCCCAAATATCTCAGGGTCACTCCCCTGAATGGGTCCTCAAAACTACCTCCTTGGACCTTTACCATCACAGGCTCTTACTTTCCAGAAGCTCCTCCAATTCCCGGTCCGCTTCGGCCCCAACACCACAGTCTTCCGGAGCGGCCGCCATCTTTCTGCCTCTGACTTGCCGTAGGAGGCTGGACTCCGGCAGCTATAGCGTGCCCGCCCCCTAGCTCCCGCCCACTCTGCCTCATACAGCCAATGGGATCATTGGTCTTTGGGGGAACCGCCATTTTTAAAGGGACGGGAAGAGGTGTGATTTTGTTTTTGGTTTGTCTGTCTGTTTCGCCTGGAGAACTTCCTGGCTTGTACTCTTTTCACTTAACTTCTCACTTTACCTAGAAAAGCTCTTTCATTATTCCTTCCTGAGCTTTGGATAGCCCACATTGAGACAAATTGCCTACAAAATCCCAGATCTATGCATATATAACTGAGAAGGTAATGATGGTGCATATCATACTATTTTCCATCCCTCCTCCCCGATTTTATTTTGGGTGCCAGGGATTAAACCCAGGGCCTTGAAGAAGGTGCCAAGCAAGCCCTTTACCACTGAGCTACGCCCCAGCCACTCCCCCCTTTAGTTGATGTTGGGGATTAAACCCAGGAATGCTTTAACACTGAGCAACATTCCCTGTACTTTTAATTTTTAATTTGTTAGGTTTTTTTTTTTAATATTTACTTTTTAGTTGTACATGGACACAATAGCTTTATTTTATTTATTTTTATGTAACGCTGAAAATCGAACCCAGGGCTTCACACGTGCTAGTTGAGCGCTCTACCCCTGAGCCACAACCCCAGCCCATAATTGTTAGTTTTTTTGTTTACTTATTTTGAGACAGGGTCTTGCTAACTTCTTTAGGGCCTCACAAAATTGCTGAGGCCGAACTGGAACTTGGATTCTCTTGTCTCAGCCTCCCGAGTCGCTGGGATTATAAGTGTGCAATATCAGTTCGGCCATATCCTCTCATCCCACTTATTTTCTTCAATATTTCATTCAAATGTTATCTTGGACTTTGAACAGGGCATGGTGGTGCACCCCTGTAATCCCAGCGACTCTGGAAGCTGAGACGAAAGAATCACAAATTCCAATTTAGCGAGACCCCGTCTCAAAACAAACAAATAAAAAACAGTCCACCGCGGTGGTGCATGCCTGTTAATCCCAGCAACTGGCTGGGAGGCTGAGGCCAGAGGATCACAAATTAAAAGCCAGCCTCAACAGTTTAGGGACGCCCTAAGCAATTTAGTGAGACCTTGTCTCAAAGTAAAAAATAAAAGCTGAATAAAATTGCAACCTCTGTCCCTCCCAACTCACATTTTCCATCTTCACTTCTTTTTCTAATACTGAACACTATCTGACACACTATAGATTTATTTACCTTGTTTATTGTTCTCCTTCTCTGCCTCCCAGTCCCCAGCGGAATTTTAAACATGGCCAAATAAAGGATTTTAGCTGTTACCTTAGTTGCTGTATCTCCATCTCCTAGGCTAGGGCTTTAAAGTTGGTAGGCACTCATTGGTCACTCTTTTCTCACAGGCTCCTGTCAGGCACATTTCTCTGCTGAATCTCTCTCATTTCCTTATCAGAACTGTTAAACTATAGGTCATAAGGCCAGGAGCTTAGAACTCAAGGTAAGAAAAAGTGAATCTGGAACCTTGGACTGAGCAAAGGGCAATTGGAAATATACTAGTATGATTCTTTCTTTGCACTATTTTTTAAAATTGATTCTGCTTTTTCTATGTTTACTATTGATACTCCTAACATCTCGTCTCAGTATTCACCTTCTGGCTGCTTTTCTGGGTTTTTGTTTTTGGTGTATTGGGGATTGAACATAGAGGCACGTACACTGAGCTACATCTCCAACCCTTTTTATTTTTGAGACATATTCAAAACTGTTTATATATACACAAAAAGTTTCTGAACACATCCCAGTTTCTCACAAGTTTGAGGCCAGCCTCAACAATTTATTTGACCTTGTCTCAAATAAATAAAAAAGGAACAGTGATGTATGTTAGTAGTAAAATGCCTATGGGTTAAACCCTTAGTGTTTTTTTTAATAATTTATTTTTTGATTATAAGTGGACACAGTATATTTTTATGTGGTGCTGAGGATCAAACCCAGTACCTCATGCATGGCACTCTACCTTTGAGCCACAACCCCAGCCCCAAATACTTAAGTGTTTTTTTTAAAAAAAGCTTGGGGGCACTAGGGCTGTGGCTCAGCAGTAGAGTGCTCACCTAGCATGTGCAAGGCCCTGGGTTCAATCCTCAGCACCACATAAAAATAAAAAAAGCTTCTGAAAGGACATAAATAGCTAATAACAGTGGTTACCTGAGGCTGGAGTTGTAGCTTAGTGGTGGAGCACTTGTATCGCATGTGTGAGGCACTGGGTTCAATCCTAAGTACCACATAAGAATAAATAAAATAAAGATATTGTTTCTATCTACATCTAAAAACATTTAAAAGAAACAAAAAAACAGTGGTTACCTGTTTTGGGAAAGGTGTTAGGACCTGGGTGGCACAGGGAAAGCATATGAGTAATACTTGTCCCAGGATACATTGACATTTTTAACTATATGAATATATTGTTTTTACTAAAAGCATGAATTTCAAATGCAAAATATATATATATATATATATTTTTTTTTTAAAGGCCTGGTACATCATTCTATCTAATTTCTACAAGCAAAACATTATACTGCCAATGTAATCACTGTAATATACAGTGTACTACATATTAATTAATCATAAGTGTATATTGCAGGAAAATATTTAGAATGGTGCTAAGATATGTAGTGGGTACCCAACAAATATTGGCTATAATTAGCAGTAGATGGAAGATGACAGAAATGAAATAGGGGCTAGGCCCAGTGTGTAATTCCAGTGACTCAGGAGGCTGACACAGGAGGATCCCAAGTTCAATTTAGCAAGATACTGTGTCAAAATAAAAAAATAAAAAGGTCTGGGAATATGGTTAAGTGATTAACCATATTAAAGTGGTTAAGTGATCCTGGGTTCAACTTTTGATATCAAAAAACAAAATAAGGAATAGGAAGCTACTTGCTTTATATCACTCTCGCAGCAATTTAGATCTATGCCTCACACATACCCTATGAAAAATGTTTTCCCATAACAGTGGTATTTATTACTTTGGTAATTAAAAAAAAATATTAGAAGAAAATACATCTGCTTTGATAGTTGGGTGTGGTGGTGCATGTGTGAAATCCCAGTGACTTGGAAGACTGAGGCAAGATGATCACAAATTTGAATTCAGCCTCAGCAATTTAGCAAGACCTGTCTCAAAATGGAAAAGAAAAAGGGCTGGAATGTAGCTCAGTGGTAAAAGTTCTCAGAGTTTGGTGGGACAGCTACAGAATATGAACAGGAGCACGAAAATGTTCAAGAAATAAATGGCAATCCAAGAAGCTATTGTAGAAATTTATTTAGTGTGAGAAAACAAAAAAATGAATACAATGGTTGTAAAGGACAAATCAATGGAAAGTGGTGTGCATTTTTGAAAGCCAAATGATTTCTTCTTAGACTTCACGTTTCTGAGCACAGAGGGTGCCTGCCTAGGAATATAATGCCCAAGGAAAATGGGGAAATATCTAAGAGTTTGGTGTGGCTGAGTAAAACTGGTATCGTATTCATTACATCTTGCTGCTTCATAGCAGAAAGGAAAAAAAGGTGGTGGGGAGGAGAGGAATAAATATTGAAAGAATTTACTAAACAAATATCCGCCACAGGTTTTCATTTGTTCTTTAAAAGATCTAAGCTGGAAAGGCAAGGCCAATTGTAATGACAACTATGACCACCTTGAGGAAAGGAGAGGTCCTCATGAACAATGAAGTCAAGTTTTGATATTCTTTGATAGAAGAAGAGAAAAGGAGATATCAATAATCTGAAGGGTGGCTGTAGGAGAAGGGTACAGAGACTTCAAAGACTAATTCTTTGAAGGAAGAATATGTTATTGACTCCTCTGCTTCCCACACAAATGGGGCCTTAGCGAAACTGAAGAGGACTGATCCTTATACCAATCACATCTTTGCCAATCTCTGTCACCTGTAAATGAGGAAACAGAAGACCAAGTTAGAGATCTGTGAGGACTTATTCCCTATACTCCTCAATAAACACAGTAGATGGGTGTTTGTTTCTGAGAGATGGAGCAGTGGGGAGAAACTTTAGTTTTCTCTAGTAGCATTGCTTCAAGGAGCTGAGGCAAATACAGAGGAGAAAAGAACCTCCATGTTTCTTTCTCTTTCCCCTCCCCCCCTCAATATCCTAGATGCATATTTGAGGCAGCACTTACTGTAGTAACCCTGCATATTTGACCCTTGAACTCAGGGGAATAGCAGGCCCCACTGAGTGGACACTTCTCCACTGGCTTTCCACGGTAAATGGGTCGGTAAGATGCGGCACAAATGTCAAAGGGATTGTGCATGTCATAATTGAGCTGGTAGGCATCTGTGGGGTTCTTTTCACAGGCAGACAGGATTTTTCGGGTCTAGGAGAGTTCAGAAGGATTATTTTATTTAAGAGCACAGAAAACAGCACATAATAAATCAAATGATATTATCATGATTTTGTACAACTAACTGTACTACATGAATACAGGTCCCATCCTCTGTATAGGATGTATACAAAGAGTTAACAATCACATCATGTTTGATCAAGATTTCCTCTTCTCTGGGGATGGGGTTGTGGCTCAGCAGTAGAGTGCTTGCCTAGCAAGTGAGAGGTGCTGGGGTTTGATCCTTAGCACATTTAAAAAAAAAAAAAAAAGATTTCTTCTCAATACCAAAGTGTCCCATGGATCTAAACCCAAAATCTTCCACCAAGTCTGGGGATTATCGGGGTTAGGCCTTAGAAAGGAATTAAAACTGGCTTTCATTTCCCAAGAAGAATTCTTTTTGGAGGGTACAAATAATAAAATGCGTATGTGAAGAACTAGTGGTTGAGATGGGACACCTGGAGCTTAAGACTGGGGTTGAGGGCAGTGCAGCTATTCTAAGTTACAGGTCACTCTCAAACCAGTGCCAAGTCTGAATAAATTATGTGTTCTTTTTTTTTTATATATATTTATTTTTTAGTTTTAGGTAGATACAATATCTTTATTTCACATTTATGT